CGCCTAAAGCGGAATTCGGTTTCCGTTCGTAGCGCGCAAGCGTGCGCGATATCTCCGTTTCGATCCACCCCTCTTCCTATGCGATCCAGCAAGCCAGTGACTGAGGGCAGTCACATTTTTAATCTGGATTCGAACCAGGAATTGCCGCTAGATTTTGGAGGAAACTTGATGCAGACTGCAGTGTGGCAGACGCGAATCATTCGCCACTGGGTTTCATTTCAGTCCCGTCGTAACCCACTTCTAGGAACTGTTGAAAACCGGAGTCAGAAACGGGGAGGGAGAAAAATGAGCCTTGTTCAAGTCATAGGACCCAGCCTGGATTCGAACCAGGCACCTACACTCCTCGACACAATGTAAGGGAGGTACCACCCGCCAGTGGGTCTTCTTCCGATACCGATGATGCGTTGTACGATGGGTGTTTTTGCTTGTGGATGGGGAATGTAGCTTCTCGAAAAAACATGCGGAGATATCATATCTGCCCCAACGCGTGTTGAGTAAATGGCCGAGAATTTGCTTTGTGGAGAAAAAAGGCCGGATGAGATGATGCGAAGGAATTAAAAAGACTGACCTTTTACTCAGTGACCCAGCCTGGATTCAAACCAGGAAATACCGCAATATGTTCGAAGTAAACATGCAGTGCGGACGCGAACCATTCGCCATTGGATCTGTTTCTCGTTCTTGTACCCTGCTCATCCTCGTGCGAGCAAAAAAGAGTTAGAAACGGCGAGGGAAATTTTTCAACAAGGGCTCACGACCCAGCCTAGACTCGAACCAGAACTTCACCGCTCGCAGTTTCGGTGGCAGCTGCACAAATCACGGGTGCGAACCATTCGCTACCGGGTGCTGTTTTCTACTAGTCGGTGGGCGATTTTCATTGGTGGATGGGGAATACAGCGTCTCCACCTTGTTTTCATCCAGAGAGACGTCGAACTTGCCTTCTGGTCAAAGTGTTAGGATGAGATGAAACAAGTGAGGGAACGAAAAAAAAAAAATATACATTCTGGCAATAGTGATCCAACCTGGATTCCAACCAGAAATTTCCGCTACACGATAATATAAGTACGACCTATGCAGTGCGGACGCGAACCATTCGCCACTGGGTTTCATTTTCAGTCGCGTCTTAACCCATTTCTAGGAATTGTTGAAAATGGAGTCAGAGATAGCGACGATAAAAAATACTGAGATTCGAAACCTTAGTACCCAGCCTGGATTCGAACCAGAGATTTCCGCAATATGTTCGTGTCCGAAGGTATACAGCGCGGAAGTGAATCATTCTCCACTGGGTCTCTTTCTCATAAATGTAACCTGCTTCTGAGGACTGCGAAAGAACAAAATTGGCGAAGGAAAAAATTCAACAAGGGCTCACGACCCAGCCTAGATTCGAACCAGCACTCCACCGCTCTGGGGGGGATCTACGCACAAAGCACGGGTACGAAACGAACCATTCGCTACTGGGTTCTGTTTGCTCGACGGCGATGTTCCAGTCGATAGGTGGTTTTTGGTAGGAATATGGAACGTCTTCACCGTGCTTGAATGCAGAGAAGACTTCGAACTTGCTTTCTATTCAAAGTATTAGGATGAGATGAAACAAGTGAGGGAACGGAAAAAAAATATCCCTCGCTTTCGAAGTGACCCAACCTGGATTCGACCCAGGAAATACCGCAATGTATTCGAAGAGGCTTCACAAACATGCAGTGTAGACGCGAACCACTCGCCACTGGGTCTGATTTTCAGTCCGGTCGTAACCCACTTCTACGTGGATTCAGAAATGGCGAGGGAGAAAAAATTCTGCTCGCTGTTTCCAGGACCCAGCCTGGATTCGAACCAGGAACCTGCTTCTTAAGTGAATTCTCGGAGGTGCCGGTGAACGTTAACCGGTGAACCCTGAGAGGGGCTGAACGTTGTAATGATGTCATTCAATAACGTTCCCATCATTGGTGATGTCATTGTTTTAAGTGAATTCTCAGAGGTGAACCCTGGGCTGAACGTTCCCATCATTAATGATGTCATTGTTTTACTGTCTGTCCGAAGCGGAGATCACCGAGGGTTGGCGCCGAAGGACGGCATCGAATTCAGTAGAGGCTTTCAAAAATAACCATGTCATTGAATTCCGCCGTTACCAGGTACTGACCTTCTCAACCGCCACTGTAGCTATTCTGTCTTTCCTATTTATTGACCTAGACCAGCACCCCTCTCTTACGAAAATTCATGTCATTGAATTCCGCCGTTACCAGGTACTGACCTTCTCAACCGCCACTGTAGCTATTCTGTCTTTCCTAGTTATTGACCTAGACCAGCACCCCTCTGTTTCGAAAATTCACAAAGGCTGTCTGGCAGAGTGGTCTTCACCTCTTCTTAACGTTGGAGTGCGTTGGTTCGAACCAGCCGGGTGTCATTATTTTGTCACCTCCGGCCCGCCCCGTTTCGTTCCAAAATTTGGACTATAAAACCCCATTTGGGTTCATTACTTAATCAACAATGTCCGACGACGCCCCCTCATCGTCGCCCGCCTACTCTGCGCTCCTCAAAACCCTCCTAGCAAAGACTAAAAAAATAACCCCCTTGTCGCCCTCTGCCAGCCCCGGGACAAAAAAAAAGCGCGCCGAGGACTACCAGACCGTCGCAGAAATCTCCTCAATCATCGAATCTAATCGCAAGCAGGAGCAAGCAGCCGCGGACGACGCCGAAGAGGTACGCTTTCATCCTACCCGTTGACTGGCCACTCCCAACAAACCCAGCCGCCCGTCGACCCCGTCCTCTCTCGATTCAAAGCTATCGTTCCTGTTGAACCTTTCAACGTTCCCGTGCTCACAGCTCGTGACTTTCAAGACCTTCTCCTCTCCACGCCCCCTCACAAGTCTGCCGAACGAGAAGATGCCGCCTTTCGTCGCCTCTTTGCAGGATTCTTTATAGTTAGTGACGCCACGAGATGAAGGTACGGTACCACCCACCACTGGGTCTCCCCTCCGTAGAGGTGAATCAATATACGAGGGGGAGCTTTGATGGCCAAGGAAGCAATTGGGACGCTTTTTCAATCATGAGTGGGAGAGGTACCGGTCTTGACGCCTTGAATTATACTGAGTACCTTTCGGGAAAAAGGATCAGGAATGAGAGGGAGAAAAAATCATCACATGCCGACCCAAGGACCCAACCTGGAGTCGAACCAGGAATATCCGCAATAATGCATTGCTTCTCTTGTCATCTATGTATCACGAACGCGAGCCGTCCGCCATTGGGTCTTGTTTCATAATCTCTTGTTCGAATTAGGAATGCCAAGGAATCAAGAGATGATTATCCCGAGACGAGATTATCCGCAAGCAGATATTTGCCAAGGCCGACGTAGGCGCTGTCTGGCGCTGTGGTAAAGATTGATTCCACGTGGGCCAAGCGGGCAGTTCAACTTAGTTGCACCCCTGCCAAGGAAGAGGGTCGAGAGCCTGGGCCCTAAGAGACTGTAGGTCGAGAGTCCAAAGAGGGGATTGGGGGTTCAGGAGAGATCGCCCGAGAAAACATAAATGCAAGGAAGAGGAGGAGGAGGTTGTATTACCTCTTTCATTCCGCAAACCAACCGCATTGAAATCCGTATGGTCGGAGTGACCCAAGAGGAAACAAGGAAGAAAACAAGCGTCACCGTGACTGTCACACCTAAATCAATGCTGCTCTCTTCCCACCGCTGCCTCTGACGACAACCACGACCCCTCCAACGTCGATCCCGACGACGACAACATGGCTCTGCTCACCGCCGCCCTCGGTGCTCGTGGCATCACTCTGGAGCCTCGTTCAGTCACCCTCGTCCCCACCGCGACATCCGGAGTCCCCGCGTCGACCAAGAGCCATAGCCACAGCCAAGGGTGCGTGTGCTTCAGCTTTCCCACCTTCAGCCCGTCGTGCTCACCCTCTCCAGACCGACGCCGACCGTCCATTTCCACTCCGAAGTGTACGTCTCCACTCCACTCCACACCGCAGCTAACCGAATCGTTGTCGCAGGCAGAAAAAGGCACCCGTAGGCCTCATCGTCGGCGTCGCCCTCGGCGTAATCGCCGCCATCGTCGGCCTCTTCGTCATCCGCTACCTCTTCGTCCGCCGAGCCCGCCGGCGGGAGGCCGCTTCCACGACTCTGGGTGCCGGCGCAAAGGGCATGACGCCGTACGCCTACCCGCAAACGCAGCAGCGCGCGGATCCCCAGCCCCCGCGGCCCCCTCCAAGCGAGCGCGACGCAGTCGAGCTCGCGCAGTACCCACCCCCCGGTGCCGGGCACACCGCCTCGGGCTCGTGGTCCACGCCCTTCTCCCCCGCCCCCGCATCCGCCGCCGAGCCCGGCTCCGCCTCCTCCCCCGCCGCGCGCCAAGCATACTTAGCCGCCGAGCTGCGCGCCGCGCAGACGCTGCTCGAGCGCGGCGGCAAGGGCGTCAACGTCGCCAAGACGAAGGCGCGGATACGCGAGTTGGAGGAGCGGCAGAGCAGCGCGTGGGCGATGGGACTCGAGTGATTGATTGCTCGCACGGCACTGGATACGGGAGCGGACGCATTTGCGCGGGTGGATGGATTCACGGACACGATTTCTGCAATTGCGGAGTCGCGCCTCGGCTGGCCCGGCTCCCCGGTCGTCTGCACACACCCTACTCTCACTCCCACTCCACTCCCACCCTCACCCCCACGAACAGTCTACCCCCCTTTCTCAAAACACACCCTACCCTTTACCCTACCCTACCCTACGGCCACGGCCACGATATACAGTATACCCTTCGCCTCGATCAGGATTTCCTGTATGCATGTACAGTTTTGTTGCACGCACGCGTTGTAGGATCGACGGACGGACGGACGGACGGATGGACCCTTGTATGTATGTACTGTTTACAGTAATCATTTTCTTGAACAACTGTGGCACGGACTCCTGAGCGCTCTCCTGAACTCGGATTCAGCCCGTCTTCACTCCCCCGCCTCACTCCCACGGTCCCTTAACTCGACCACACCTCGGACAAAAAATCATTCAAACGCAGTCAGACATAGTGTATCGCAACACGGCCCCTGTCGTTTATGGTCTCCCCAAAAGTTGCACTCGGGGCAGTTCCGGGTTCGATTCCCGGTGTCTGATTGATTCATGGACTGGATTAACTTTTTAACTTTTGTTTGAACTGGATACCCACTTATGCGTAGGTTTTGGCACTCCCTCCGGATCCGGCTTGCTGTTGTGTTTATTTCCGCGTTGGGGCAGTGGAGTTTGATTCGGGTCTTCCCTCATACGCCTCCTCCTCGCCCTCGGGCCTCCGACCCCTTCCAACACGCACCCTACCAGCTAACAGCCGGGGTGTTCAGGGAATAGAGCAGATATGGTGTACCGCAACACGGCCTCCCCAACTTCCGTCTCACAGTGTTGGATGTATGAGGCAGATCTGGGTTCGACTCCCGGTGTCTGACTTGGAGAAAACCGTTCCTTTTTTACTGGATACTCATGGTAAATTACGGATCCGGCTCGCTGTTGCTTTCTAATCTATTTTGGGGTCGAATTCTCTACGAGGGTGCGGAGTTAGAATTAAGTCAACCTGAATTATTGAATAAGTATCCGAGTCGGGCCGCGGCGTGGATTGACAGGATCCTGCATTCTCATTCAACATGCACCCTACCAACTAACAGCCGCTATATCCAAAGTAATAGCTCAGACATGGTGTAATGCAACACGGCCTCCCCAACTTGACTATGCAAGGCATTTCGATGGATGGATGAGGCAGATCCGGGTTCGACTCCTGGTGTCTGATTAAAAGAGCTCGGTCCACGATCTTTTTTGAACCCGGTACCGATTCTTACGTGGCTTGCTGCTGTCTTTGTCGTTCCGTTTTTGTTGCGTTCGAATGCGGGACACGGAAGCTTGGATCAAATAAGTATCCGAGTCAGGCGTGGATCCTCTTCTCCCGACCCCCTTCCTCCCTCATTTAACACACCCTACTAACTAACAGCCGTGGTATCCAGGGGAATACATCAGACATGGTGTACTGCAACACAGCCTCCCCAACTTCGTAGTTCCAGGTGTCTGGATGGATGAGGCAGATCCGGGTTCGACTCCCGGTGTCTGACTGCGGCTTGAACCCTGGTTTTTTTTTACTGCGTGTTTTTGCACTCCGGATCCGCTCCCTGTTCTGTTTTGTTGCGTTCGAATGCGGGACTTAGAGTTCCGAGCGCTAGAGATAGGTAGGTTGAACCTGGAATAAATAAGTATCCGAGTTGTAGTTGGATTTGGCAGGATCCTGAATTTAAGGCCCGAGCACCTTCACCCTCCCTCATCTAGCATGCACCCTCCCAGCTAACAGCCGTAGTATTAACAGTAGTAGCTCAGACATGGTGTACTGAACATGGCCTCCCCACGCATATCGATGGATGAGGCAGATCTGGGTTCGACTCCTGGTGTCTGACTAGGAGGGGACATTATGTTTTTTTTTTTACTGAATACCCATGGTCAGTCACAGATCCGGCTCGCTGCTGTTTTTTCGTTCTATCTTGGGGGCCGGATTTGCAAGAGTCGGAGTTAGAATTAAGTCAACCTGGATGAAATAAGTATCCGAGTTGTACTGAGACATGGTGTAATGCAACACGGCCTCCCTAGCTTCGAACCTGGGAGAGAAGTATGACCCAGATCTGGGTTCGACTCCCGGTGTCTGACTAGAGAGCAAGGAGCAATTTCTTTTTACTGGATACCCATGGCCAAGTACGGATCTGTCTCGCTGTTGTTTTCAATCTGTTTTGGGGCCGGATTCTCTCCGAGGCGCGGAGTTATAAATAGGTCAACCTGGATCAAATATTCGAGGCGAGCTTTATATTGGAAAAATGACAGAGTCCTCCTTGTTCTTGTATGTATTGTAGTCTTCTGACCCGCACCCTAATATGTAATGGGTGTCCTTAGTTCGAGTCCAAGATGGCTTCTGGCGCGTGACCACGAGCAAGTTCCTTTTCTCTTCCGCGCAGACAGTGCATATATTATTCCATCTGGAATTTTTTACTGTGCAATACAACTACGAAAAGGTTCAATCCATTTCTCATTCCTCCTGAGTTCAAAGAGTGCCCCATCCAAGCGTTCTGGTCCATCTAATTTATTTCTTCGAAGCTATGACACCGCAAATAGCCCAACGTAATTATTACAGCACAACGACTTTATTAATATGTAATGAGATGGAGGGAAGTGGATGTGAGAAAAGTGATGGTTTGTCCGAAAATGCGCAAGGGAAGGGAAAAGTTAAAGTTCGCTGGTGGGGAGAGCATCATAGGTAGGACAGAGGCTGTCCCATGCAGCTGTGGGTGGTACCATAAGTAAGTTCGATGAACGTGCCCAGAAGAAGCAAGTGATCATACGCACCAGGTGTTGTAGCGTTGGTGATGGCACCGGCGTCTTCCGCGAAGACGATTGCGAGGCCGCTGTATGCAATCAGGAGAGCTGGACGGGAAGAAGAAAATAACGTACAGCTCTAAATGGAAGTCGATGTGGCTGAGGGAAATAATGATATGTTAGCTCAGGGTGTGCAGAATGGCCAGAATGGCCTTTTATATCTACCAATGCAAGATCCATCTGAAAACAACCTGTTAGCGGAGTTTGATGAGCGGATGAGTATGGACTTACGGGCCAGGGTTATCTGTAACGAAACTGGGCGGCAATGGGGTGAGTTGTGGGCGAGATGAGTAGAGGCCAGAACACGAACCGAATGGTAGTATTGTCGCTATAAAACAATTAGATTGTGGAAGCCTGAAAAAATCTAAACGCGAGGACATACGTTGTATCTGTGCCCGTGGTCACCACATCGCGAATTATCTGAGATGAATCTCAGAACTATGTTCAATGTCTATTTGGAAGCAACGCACTGGATCAACGAAGTTGTATGTAGCATTCCCCGCGCTTTTGATTACGAAGAAGTTATGCTGCATCGAACGGGGTCAGGGCACGCAAAATCGCTGATATAGATCGGGAACTCACGCCGTGCAAATGGAAGGGATGCGGCGCACCCGGAGTTCCGCCGGGGATGGATATCTCGATGACACTGTTCGCGGGTAGAGTGAATACACTTCCTGAAGGGAGGAGATCGGTCGCAGATTGAGCCCCGCTGAGAATCTGCAGGAGAACAGGCACAGTAGGGGGCGTGAATGTCTGGCAATCTACGTGAGCGGAGGGATTAAGCAATGCTTCGAAAAGTATCACCTCCCCGTTGATCTCGAAGGCAAACGTCGTGGTGTCCAGCGTGATGACCAAGTTCATGGTAAGGTCCGCGCCACCAGCAACGGCAGTTCCGGGCACGGCCGTCGCCACAAGGGGGTGGAGGTCAGTCTCGACGAGGGCCGCGGTGGCAGTGGTGGCGTTCGTGGCCGGGTCAGTGTCGTTTGCACCCACATACCGCAGGATCGCAGAATTGATCCCATTGTCGAATCCCGTGGTTCCCCCATCGGCAACGGTGCGAATCCAGTAGTTGTCCACGGGCTGGTTGGCAGTCAGGATAAATGAGTAGCGCTGGCCCGCGACTGGGACAAGTCACGACAAATTAGATCAATGAAGTCGCTCGTGGCGAAGTGAAAGCGGCGCACAAATCTGGATTGAATCGACTGTGAGTGGCTGAGTGTTGACGCCGTCGGCCTCGATGATGGTCATGTTGTGCCCATCGATGGTGAAGATGAAATTTGGGTCTGCTTGGAAATTAGATATGCATCGAGTTGCAAAAGGAAATTACTCACCACATGACATAGAGACGAGGCGTATCCTGAGGAGTGGATTGGCAATGAAATGGAGAATTCATGCAAAATTGCGCACCGATACCGCTGGCCAGAGGTCACACTGACGACGGCCAGTTGCGATGTCGGCTTTTCAAGAAGTTAGTCTGCGATTCGGCTTTTTTGGTGAACGAGATCGTACCCCTCCAGCAAAACGGCCTAGCATGGGGATTAATTGAGAAATAATCAAAGATACGGAGCGAACATACCGAGTCCATTTATGAGCGTGGAAATGAGTGTCTGCCGTGTGATGAGCAACTGTCAATTATCAGTTGCTTGGAGGCCCTTACCGGAATGTTTCCGAGCGTGCTTGCAGGGCCGTGGTCTAGATAAAAGTCTGGTCAATCGAGCACAGTGCATTTCCTGAAGATCCTTACACCTAGGAAAAAATCAGACAAATTCATTTGGGAGAGAAAATGAAACTGACCAGTCAGCAAGGGTGATGACGGTAGTCTCTGAAGGGCTGTAAGAACGCGGAAGGATGAGCAGGGGAGAGAGGACTGACCATCGTCGACGTCTAAATAGCATTGAATTATTCGGATCCATGAAAAGTGCTGAGACGTACCGTAGAGATCGGCGTTCGGGTCGTCGGGGTCATAAACAACGAGCGGGCCCCTAAGTCCGTCGCAATATTGGGTAGCTATTGAGATACGTGAGACGGCGGAATGGAAACCAGAATTCACCACGTACCAAGATGGCTGTGATCTAAGCAGAGTCAAGTCGAGAAACACCAGACAGATGGATCTGTACTTACACCTATAGATTCAGTCAGACATGGAAGCGGAGGAAAGAGAAGAGTACGAAAACTAACCAGAATGTGCCAGTTTGGTTATTCTGCATGATACTATATGAGATGGAGACAGACTTCAGAGGCGGAAAATACATGCCGTCGGGAACGTGTACAGGAAAGAATTGTTGACTGCGATCGGGCATTGAGTAACAAAAGCGACACCGTCGGCCCTGGGATGCTCTTAGTTGAATTCAATTTCTGGAGGTTTCTTCGCCGCCTTACCATGAATTATTCGGCTGGAAGAAGCCGTGCCAGTGCTGGGGAATCAATTAGCCGAGGAATTGCAGTGGCAAGACCCGGGCGTACGATGCTGGTGCTTAGGAGCATTGTCTCGTTCGCCAACTGGTCGACAACATTCAAACTGAACTCGTCGCCCTTGTTGGCCGTGATGAGCGGACCTGGGACCTGCCCATTCACAAGGACAGCTCTGAAGATCGTTTTCTTTTTAGCTCCGCTAGACAGGATAACGAGGACGACCCACTGCCGAGTAAATCCATCTGGTGCAACGTCGCCGTTGGTCAAAGTCAACTCCGCTGTCGGGCCAATCGAGGCGAGGACGGTGG